ACAACCTTGACACTGTATTGAAATAATAGTGGGGTAGTGACATATGTTAAATGACCAAGAGTCTTCAAAGGGGTATATGCATTGAACGAAAATATTTTCTCTTAAGAAAGATAGTTGGTAGAGAAAATGTAATTGTCAATAAGATTGTTTCCAGGGGATAATCTCGCAAACTTATTTACTAAGAGCATATCGACTAAGGTCTTCAAGAGTTATCTACATGACATGGGATTGCAAGACATGACACATATACTCTAGGACAAATGAGGGATTTGTTAGGATGTTCCCATATAGTATATTTTATTGTGAGAGAAATATATTTTATAATAAATGAATTGTATTTTTATTTTATTTATTGTATTTATTTAATATTGAGCATGTGAATCAAAATATGTAAGATCACTTGCATGATATAAGTTGAGTGCTTACACTGAGAAGCACAATGCAACAACTTATATTTTTATAATAAATAATTTGTTCACAATCAATGTGTAAAAGTTGACATTTTAAATTGAAAAGTTGTAGTGTTGCCTAATTCACTATTCAAGTTTGCTACGTCTTTATCACATAAATAATTAAATGTGACACTAGTATACTTGGAATATATTGAACAAATCATATGTTAGCTTAAGTCCATAGCATGATTGTGTAGAGAATTAAATTTAATTTGATCGTTGGTATTTCATCTAAATTCATCGACTTGCCTATGTATATAATTTTATAAGATTAATTGGTGACGTCATTTTAATTGATTAAATATATCGATAAGTTGAGAATCTAAGAATGAGCTCAATAGGGAACATCAATTCGTATCAAGAATTGTTGCTACTAAAAAGGGTAGAATGACTATTTAAGTATTTTACATTGAGCAGTTAAAATTCGAGCTCAGTCTTTAGCGACGGCTGAACTTCCATAGATGTGATTAGTTTACATGATCATTGGGAAAAAAAATGAAACTTAAATTAGAAAGAATAAATGGAGTGCAAAATGGTCATTTGTGTCCAAACCTAATTATCGGATCTCAAATGAAGAAAAAGAAAATCTTACGGATCTCATGTTCCGTGAATAGCAGGGACATTGAAGAATATCCCGAAAGGTAAGAATGAGATTGACGTGAGGGAGTAGGGATGACTATATTTTTGAGAGCAAACTCCGGTCGACTTTATAAACTAATAATTAGATTAGATGGTAATCATCGACTGAGCAATATATAATTATTGGAATTTAAATAATATATGTCCAATCGATTCCCTATGGTAGCTAGGAAAAGTGTTGAGACTTAATTACAATTACTATAAAAAGTTTTGGGTTTAATTAGCATTACTGTAAAATTTTCAACTCAATTGTAAATGTTATGAAGGTTTTAAACTTAATTATATTTGTAATTGAAGTTTTAGTGCTATACTCCGCAATTAAATAAGTTACGTACTGATTGAACTTCAATTGAAACTCCCATTTTGATTTCAATCGGAATTCTTGGACTTCTTTTGGAGTTCTTATTGCACATGAATTCTAACTCCTTTATATCTATAAAAATAGAGATTGGATAGAACAAAAAGATAAAATAATAATAATAATAATAATAATAATAATAAGAAGAAGAAGAACAACAACAACAACAACAACAACAACAAAAAATCTTTCACAAAGTTTGAATTTAGAGAGTGAAAAGAGAGAGAAAAAAATGTTTTCTTCTTTTTATCATTTGTCGAGTTCAAAATTGATTTCTTGATTTAATTCGAATAAGATAACCACATACCACTGTAGTCTTGCTTTTGAAAATTTCCATAGAAGGCTTGAATATTGAATCATCAATAGAAGGCTTGAATATTGAATCATCAAATTCTTGGATTACAAGTTAAAAAGGTAGTGATTAAGATTCAATTTAAGAATTAATCATCGAATCTAAGCAATATTCAAATTCTTTATTTATTTATTTATTATAATTTACACATGAACATTTATACAATTTTGAATTTTCATTTTTTTTTATTAATTATTGTCCTGCTTTCTAAATAGACTATATCTAAAAAACTCTTTAAACATGAGATACTCTCTATTTTAATGAGTCAACCGTTGAAATCATATTTCAAGATACTCTTTAAAGGTTTGGCTCTCCAAACTCGATTTCTATAATTAAATGCATTTAAAGTGTTTCAATTTTTAATGTAGGAAAATAATAAAATAATCTCAAGAAAAGCTAATTAAAATAAAAGATAAAGAAAAATAATAAATATTTTTTGAAAGTAATAAAATTAACTGTTAAATATAAAGAACTTATTGAAGTATTTTAAAATTTTAACTCTTTAAATTTATAGATGCTCTTTAAATAATAGAATATGTTCTTTAAAAATAGGATAATTAGCAAAAAAACATCCATATCATTTGTACTCATTACGAAAAATGGTCCCTATCGTTTTGAATTTGCTATTTACACCCTCATTTCAAACCTTTCGTGCAGAATTGGTCATTTTTGTCATATTCCGTTAAGTCATTCCGTTAAATATATGTAATTTAATGTAAAAGGTCCCTACTGTTTGTTGTAATTGCACAAATAGTCCATATCATTTCAATTTTGACATATTCATATCATTTGTACTCATTACGAAAAATGGTCCCTATCGTTTTGAATTTGCTATTTACACCCTCATTTCAAACCTTTCGTGCAGAATTGGTCATTTTTGTCATATTCCGTTAAGTCATTCCGTTAAATATATGTAATTTAATGTAAAAGGTCCCTACTGTTTGTTGTAATTGCACAAATAGTCCATATCATTTCAATTTTGACAATTGGATATTCAGATCGACATTTCTTTGCTTAAAAGGTCGTTGCGTCCATTTTTTCTATAATAACATCATGAAATGATTAATTTATCATCATTTTAAGTAAATAAATCTAAAAAAGAAATAATATAAAAAAAAATTGTATCTAGAGTTTCTAATATTTTTTAAAAGTTAAAAACAAATCTCACATATAAAAACTTAAAACATTCTAATAAAAAATTATTTTATATTCCCAAATAACCCACCTGTCCCTACCCGTACGCCTATCCTCCACCACCAAAATAATTAAAAAGAGAATTAAAAGTTTAAAAAACTATTTGACGAGGAATAAACACCATTTTGTTTTTATAAATTTTTTTCCTTTTTTAAATTTTTTAACTTTTATTATACTACTAATTATCTCTTTAATTAATTTTGTCGTGGTGGTGGTGGAGTGTAGGGGATGAGCGTAGAGTATGTAGGTTAATTGAGAAGATGAAATGTTTTTGTTTATTAGAATGTTTTAATTATTTTTCTGAGACTCGTTTGTACTTTTTAAAAAACTTTAGAAACTTTAGATACAATTTGATTATATTATTTCTATTTGGTTATTTAAATATGATGAAAAATTAGTCATTTCATAATGTTATAATGGAAAAAATGGCCGCAATGACCTTTTAAGCAAAGTAATGTCGATTTGAATATTCAAATGTCAAAATTGAAATGATATGGACTATTTGCGTAATTATAGCAAATAATGGGGACCTTGTACATCAAATTACACATATTTAACAGATAGATTTAACGAAATATGACGGAAATGATCAATTCTACAAGAAAAGTTTGAAATGAAGGTGTAAATAACAGGTTCAAAACGATAGGAACCATTTTCGCAATGAATACAAACGATAGGAATTTTTTTTCTAATTACCTTTAAAAATAGATAGTCTTTTGAAAATGCTTTAAATTATCATACAACATAGCATATATAAATTTAATATAGCACGAGAAAGTAAAACACAATCGTAATTAGAGGTTTAGGCATGACATTTTCTCTTTTTCTTTTTCCTTTTTCAAGTGTTCAAACTTGTAATATATATGTTCTTTCTTTGTAATTTTGCATTTAGCAAATTTTCTATTCTAATGGCGTTTGAACTCTGTATTAATGCAGAGGAACAGTCCTCTTGAAGAAGGGCAACATTAATATTTTGGTTTGATTTACTTTATTTTACATTTTAAAGATAATAGTATCTTCAATCTTGGTGTAAAATTGAGTGTTAATTAATATATTCAAAATTATTCTTACATCTCGATAGATCTAAATTCAAGCAAAGTTGGTCAGATTTTCGACTACTTTAAAAATTTAAATTATAATTTAATTCTATTTTATACTACGATTAGAGATGCTTTAAGACTCATAGATATGTTCGCTTCAAATCAAGCTATGGTTTAACAAGTCCGCTTCGATGACCTATTCACTTTTAACAAGTCAGCCATAATGATAATATGAGCAAATGTTACGTTTTACGGTAAAAATTAAGAAGATTAAGCCCATGTTTGTCACCTATTATTTTATATTCTATCACATTATTTTTTCTATAATACTCATTTTCAATCTCACATTCTTCATTGAAATAATATTATACGCAAATCAAAAAAATTTCATTCTTTTTTAACCATACATTCTTTATCAATCTATTATTCCATAATACGTCTTTCAAAATTAAAGGGCTCAAACACACCCTAAATTGCGTGATCTTTTAGCAATTTTATGAACGAGAAATAGAACAATTTTATGAAAATCTACTAACAATTTGATTTCAATCTATGTCAATAATTTTATTTATTTATTTTTTTTTTCTCTAAAGGTGAGGTTAATCAAATTATTTTCTTTCCTTATAAAAGACAAAGAAAAATATGTATGGTCAGCATGCTTTTAAGAAAAATTATAAACCGACAACTGTTGAATTTCATTTATAAATTAAAATGAAGATTGTGGCAATAGATTAGATTGAAATTCTCGTCTATTCTCTCTCTAACTCTGTGTGCTTACAGTTTACGCTTTATATTATTCGACTGTTTCGCCCTATCAAGGTATTTCTCTGTTCCTCTTAAAATTCTTTAATCATAAATGGTTTAATTCTTTTTTCTTTTTATTTTTGTAATTTGATTTTCTAGATTGCTGTTTCTATTTTATTTTATTATTTCTTCCGTACTGGGTTTTACTGATTTTCGGCTTGTACACGATGTGTTGTCTGTAATTTATTTATTTGATTTAGTAATTGTTTATCGATTCCTTCTGATATTGTTTGATTAGCGATGGATTAAAATTTTAGAAACTATTGTTGGGATTTTGATTTTATATATATATATGATGCACGTGCTTGATGAATTTTCTATGAAATGATTTTCTTTTAATTGTTTTTTTTAACACGTGCACATATAATTGTTTTCTATTGGGTTATGTATCGAGAATGGGAGCAACAAACTATTTGGGTGTTTCATAGCTTAATAGTTAATATAATCTGTTGGGAAATTTGTAAGGCGTGATGAAACCAAACTGTAGCAGATCATCAAAAAAGAAACTATTCTTCTTTTTATGAAAAGAATAAACTTGGAAAATTTAAGGGTTTCCTAATTTAAGCGGAGCTGAGTTTTTTCCTAAAATTTCTTTAGATGTTTTGATTCTAAAGCATAGCCCAGGAAATAAAAATGATGGATGTACTGAATCTTTTGCCATGAGGCGATGTTTAAATGTGGATTCGTGTGAATGTTGTTCTTGCTTGTGGACGTTGAGTGAATTTGGTGGCTGTAGATATCCGTTTCAATGATGATTGGAAAGCAAAATTTCATGATTCTATTTGTTGAGAATTTACTAGAGTTATCTGTGTTGATTTTGTCAATGATAATTACGCCCTGTTTGATGGCCATTATTTGGAAAAACAATGTTTTGAATAGTGATTTTTAGAACTTAAAAAGTAGATTTTTTAATGTGTGAATGTTTGGTTGGAAATGAGTATGTAGAAAAAGGAGTTTTCAGTAATGACTATCAAACAAGGGTTGTGTTTTCTCATTTGTTAGTTTTGGTGGTCTTCCCAAATATCATGGTATTGTTTGTCATGCTAGTCTTGTATTATTTCGTGCTTGAATGGAAGTGATTTTTTTATGAGTGATTTTTTCGGAGATTGTAGTGTTAAATAGTAGGGAAAAGTTATGGAAAAATGTGAAAATGATTTCTTTTGGATAGTTGTGATTGAGCATGGAGAAAAGTGATTTTCAAAAATTCACTTTCACACAAGCACTTATTGTCTGTGAGATTTCTATTGTTTTTAGGTTTCTAGGAACATGTTTGGTATAGATTAAAATATGATTTTAATCGAAGTCAAAGTCAAACAATCAATATTAACCACATTTTTCATGGGTCCCACAACTTTTCAACTACGCATTTCAAAAACTTCTATCATATCACAATTTACTAAAAAATCTAATTTTAATCCCTACCAAACACTCTCTAGACAAGTAGTCAATTAGCGTTGAGAATTTTTTTTTTGAAATGGTGTTCAAACTGGATGGTTAGTCAAATAAGGGCTCAAAATAGGATATAAGGGCTAACAACAGGATATTAGTCTAATAAGGCTTAAAACAGAATATTGCCTCAGATATATGGAGATGAATTAGTTCATGAATACAACCTTTTACCTATCTACATGTGCATTGTTAAAATTTAAAACATTGATATATGAAAAAGTTCCTTTAATTTCTTGCTTTGAGTCTTAACAGTAAAAACTTTAAGCATTTCTATCACAATTGAATTCACTCTCGTCTTCTAGATTGTGTACTTTTTATAGTACATTTGTGTCATGGCGTAATATCTGTTGTGTTTTTATCTTCGAATCTTCACATAATTATGTCGTGCATTGCATCTCATGACTTCTCATGGATTCTCTGAGTTTGAGAATTCTGAGTTCTGATGAGGCTTTTATTGGAAATTCAAAATGCACCACTTGGATGGCTCTATTAATTAACTCAATCCTCATTATCATGATGTCCAAGGGATATGACTGAAATCTTTTGCGACGGGAAAAGTCATTGCCAATGTTTGTCTTTAATGGCTCAAGTTATTTGACTTGATCGGTTATATATATCTCTGTCCCCTTCACAGTAGGGTAGTATTTTTTTTCCCTCACCTTCCCTTCTATTTTACTTCATTTTGTGTATTTTGGTTTTTTATTTTATTTTATTTTTTTTTTTTGG